GGCCATTTTAGAATTCTCCATTTGCCTCCAGTCATTCAACAGAGGCAGACCTGGCTGTATTCAGGGAGAGAGTTAGGGACAGAGAAACGTTACTTAGGGACACAGAAACGTTAGTTAGGGCCACAGGATCGTTACTTAGGGCCACAGAAACGTTACTTAGGGCCACAGAAACGTTACTTAGGGCCACAGAATCGTTAGTTAGGGCCACAGAAACGTTACTTAGGGACACAGAATTGTTACTCAGGGACAGAGAGAATTGTTACTGAGGGATACAGAATTGTTACTGAGGGCCACAGAATCGTTACTTAGGGCCACAGAAACGTTACTTAGGGCCACAGAATTGTTACTTAGGGACAGACACAGAATTGTTACTGAGGGACACAGATTTGTTACTGAGGGCCACAGAATCGTTACTTAGGGCCACAGAAACGTTACTTAGGGCCACAGAAACGTTACTTAGGGCCACAGAATTGTTACTTAGGGACAGACACAGAATTGTTATTGAGGGACACAGAATCGTTACTGAGGGCCACAGAACCGTTACTTAGGGCCACAGAAACGTTACTTAGGGCCACAGAATTGTTACTTAGGGACAGACACAGAATTGTTACTGAGGGACACAGATTTGTTACTGAGGGCCACAGAAACGTTACTTAGGGCCACAGAAACGTTACTTAGGGCCACAGAATTGTTACTTAGGGACAGACACAGAAGAATTGTTATTGAGGGACACAGAATTGTTACTGAGGGCCACAGAATTGTTACTTAGGGCCACAGAAACGTTACTTAGGGCCACAGAATTGTTACTTAGGGACAGACACAGAATTGTTACTGAGGGACACAGATTTGTTACTGAGGGCCACAGAAACGTTACTTAGGGCCACAGAAACGTTACTTAGGGCCACAGAATCGTTAGTTAGGGCCACAGAAACGTTACTTAGGGACACAGAATTTACTCAGGGACAGACACAGAATTGTTACTGAGGGATACAGAATTGTTACTGAGGGGCACACAGAATCGTTACTTAGGGCCACAGAAACGTTACTTAGGGCCACAGAAACGTTACTTAGGGCCACAGAATTGTTACTTAGGGACAGACACAGAATTGTTATTGAGGGACACAGAATTGTTACTGAGGGCCACAGAACTGTTACTTAGGGCCACAGAAACGTTACTTAGGGCCACAGAATTGTTACTTAGGGACAGACACAGAATTGTTACTGAGGGACACAGATTTGTTACTGAGGGCCACAGAAACGTTACTTAGGGCCACACAGAAACGTTACTTAGGGCCACAGAATCGTTACTTAGGGCCACAGAAACGTTACTTAGGGCCACAGAATTGTTACTTAGGGGACAGACACAGAATTGTTACTGAGGGACACAGAATTGTTACTGAGGGCCACAGAAACGTTACTTAGGGCCACAGAATTGTTACTTAGGGACAGACACAGAATTGTTACTGAGGGACACAGATTTGTTACTGAGGGCCACAGAATTGTTACTTAGGGACACACAGAATTGTTACTGAGGGCCACAGAAACGTTACTTAGGGCCACAGAAACGTTACTTAGGGCCACAGAATTGTTACTTAGGGACAGACACAGAATTGTTACTGAGGGACACAGATTTGTTACTGAGGGCCACAGAAACGTTACTTAGGGCCACAGAAACGTTACAGGGCCACAGAATCGTTACTTAGGGCCACAGAAACGTTACTTAGGGCCACAGAACGTTACTTAGGGACAGACACAGAATTGTTACTGAGGGCCACAGAATTGTTACTGAGGGCCACAGAACCGTTACTTAGGGCCACAGAAACGTTACTTAGGGCCACAGAATCGTTACTTAGGGCCACAGAATCGTTACTTAGGGCCACAGAATGTTACTTAGGGCCACAGAACGTTACTTAGGGCCACAGAATTGTTACTTAGGGCCACAGAACGTTACTTAGGGCCACAGAACGTTACTTAGGGCCACAGCCACAGAATTGTTACTTAGGGCCACAGAATTGTTACTTAGGGCCACAGAATTGTTACTTAGGGACAGACACAGAATTGTTACTTTGAGGGACACAGAATTGTTACTGAGGGCCACAGAAACCGTTACTAGGGCCACAGAAACGTTACTTAGGGCCACAGAATTGTTACTTAGGGACAGACACAGAATTGTTACTGAGGGACACAGATTTGTTACTGAGGGCCACAGAACGTTACTTAGGGCCACAGAAACGTTACTTAGGGCCACAGAAACGTTACTTAGGGCAGACACAGAAACGTTACTTAGGGCCACACAGAATTGTTACTTAGGGGACACAGAATTGTTACTGAGGGACACAGAATTGTTACTGAGGGCCACAGAATTGTTACTTAGGGCCACAGAAACGTTACTTAGGGCCACAGAACGTTACTTAGGGCCACAGAATTGTTACTTAGGGCCACAGAATTGTTACTGAGGGACACAGAATTGTTACTGAGGGCCACAGAATTGTTACTTAGGGACACAGTTACTTAGGGCCACAGAAACGTTACTTAGGGCCACAGAATTGTTACTTAGGGCCACAGAATTGTTACTTAGGGCCACAGAATTGTTACTTAGGGACACAGAATTGTTACTGAGGGCCACAGAATTGTTACTTAGGGCCACAGAAACGTTACTTAGGGCCACAGAAACGTTACTTAGGGCCACAGAATTGTTACTTAGGGCCACAGAATTGTTACTTAGGGGACACAGAATTGTTACTGAGGGACACAGAATTGTTACTGAGGGCCACAGAATTGTTACTTAGGGCCACAGAAATTGTTACTTAGGGCCACAGAATTGTTACTTAGGGACAGACACAGAATTGTTACTGGGACACAGAATTGTTACTGAGGGACACAGAATTGTTACTGAGGGCCACAGAATTGTTACTTAGGGCCACAGAAATTGTTACTTAGGGCCACAGAATTGTTACTTAGGGACACAGGCAGGGACACAGAATTGTTACTTAGGGACAGACACAGAATTGTTACTGAGGGACACAGAATGAGGGACACAGTTACTGAGGGCCACAGAATTGTTACAGGGCCACAGAAACGTTACTTAGGGCCACAGAATTGTTACTTAGGGACACAGAATTGTTACTTAGGGACACAGAATTGTTACACAGGGAAGTTACTTAGGGGACACAGAATCGTTACTTAGGGACACAGAAACGTTACTTAGGGCCACAGAAATTGTTACTTAGGGACACAGAATTGTTACTTAGGGACCACAGAATTGTTACTGAGGGACACAGAATTGTTACTGAGGGACACAGAATTCGTTACTTAGGGCCACAGAATTGTTACTTAGGGCCACAGAATTGTTACTTAGGGCCACAGAATTGTTACTTAGGGACACAGAATTGTTACTCAGGGACACAGAATTGTTACTCAGGGGACACAGAATTGTTACTCAGGGACACAGAATTGTTACTCAGGGACACAGAATTGTTACTGAGGGACACAGAATTGTTACTGAGGGACACAGAATTGTTACTTAGGGACACAGAATTGTTACTCAGGGGACACAGAATTGTTACTCAGGGACAGACACAGAATTGTTACTCAGGGACACAGAATCGTTGAATTAAAGAGTATGTCAGACAACATGCAGAGGAGTGGCAGAGGAGGCAATGTTTTAGGAGCGAGCAGAAGACGTGGCAGCAGAGGAAGGGGTCGAGGCAGCACTATTCGCAGCCAGAGGCCAGTGCTCCCGGTGTCATCCAGTACAGTGAGGAAGAGCTAACAGAGGGCGGTCAGGAACGGGGGGAGACATCCGCCTCTTCAGCAGCCAGGCGAAGAAGTAGTGGCGAGGAGAGTGGCTCGGTAGCCGGTCTAGAGACAGGTCTGTCTCCTGACCCACACGCAGCCGAGGGGGCTAGTAGTGAGGCGGAGACCCTAATTGATGATGATGAGGCTGATCGCACTTGGCAGCCTCGTCGTCATCAGGCTATTGCTTCCGCATCATCAGGAGAAGAGGGTGGCAGCTTGGCAGCGAGCAAAACAGTCGGTGGGTTGTCTCCATCGCCACACTCTGCCATGTGCCACTTTCAGGTCTCCTCACACTGCTGGTGGTGTGTTCCATTTTTTGTCATAGGGTGCTGGCAGATTACGGGCCTCCCATAGCTGCTGCCAGGCCCCTAATCTGCCATGGGCCCCTGTACCGCCTCCTGCATGCTGCTGCCAGGTCCACAGTGTCTCATGCCATGTGCCACTTTCAGGTCTCCTCACACTGCTGGTGTGTTCCATTTTTTGTCATAGGGTGCTGGCAGATTACGGGCCTCCCATAGCTGCTGCCAGGCCCCTAATCTGCCATGGGCCCCTACCGCCTCCTCATGCTGCTGCGAAGTCCAGAGTCTCTCATGGGTCCCTGTACGGCCTCCCATTGCTGCTGTCTCCATCGCCACACTCTGCCATGTGCCACTTTCAGGTCTCCTCACACACTGCTGGTGTGTTCAATTTTTTGACATAGGGTGCTGGCAGATTACGGGCCTCCCATAGCTGCTGCCAGGCCCCTAATCTGCATGGGCCCCTATACCGCCTCCTCATGCTGCTGCGAAAGTCCAGAGTCTCATGGGTCCCTGTACGGCCTCCCATTGCTGCTGTCTCCATCGCCACACTCTGCCATGTGCCACTTTCAGGTCTCCTCACACACTGCTGGTGTGTTCCATTTTTTGTCATAGGGTGCTGGCAGATTACGGGCCTCCCATAGCTGCTGCCAGGCCCCTAATCTGCCATGGGCCCCTATACCGCCTCCTCTTGCTGCTGCAGCCAAGGTCCAGAGTCTCTCATGGGTCCCTGTACGGCCTCCCATTGCTGCTGTCTCCATCGCCACACTCTGCCATGTGCCACTTTCAGGTCTCCTCACACACTGCTGGTGTGTTCCATTTTTTGTCATAGGGTGCTGGCAGATTACGGGCCTCCCATAGCTGCTGCCAGGCCCCTAATCTGCCATGGGCCCCTATACCGCCTCCTCATGCTGCTGCCAGGTCCAGAGTCTCTCATGGGTCCCTGTACGGCCTCCCATTGCTGCTGTCTCCATCGCCACACTCTGCCATGTGCCACTTTCAGGTCTCCTCACACACTGCTGGTGTGTTCCATTTTTTGTCATAGGGTGCTGGCAGATTACGGGCCTCCCATAGCTGCTGCCAGGCCCCTAATCTGCCATGGGCCCCTGTACCGCCTCCTCATGCTGCTGCCAGTCCAGAGTCTCTCATGGGTCCACGGCCTCCCATTGCTGCTGTCTCATCGCCACACTCTGCCATGTGCCACTTTCAGGTCTCCTCACACTGCTGGTGTGTTCCATTTTTTGTCATAGGGTGCTGGCAGATTACGGGCCTCCCATAGCTGCTGCCAGGCCCTAATCTGCCATGGGCCCCTATACCGCCTCCTCATGCTGCTGCCAGGTCCAGAGTCTCTCATGGGTCCCTGTACGGCCTCCCATTGCTGCTGTCTCCATCGCCACACTCTGCCATGTGCCACTTTCAGGTCTCCTCACACACTGCTGGTGTGTTCCATTTTTTGTCATAGGGTGCTGGCAGATTACGGGCCTCCCATAGCTGCTGCCAGGCCCCTAATCTGCCATGGGCCCCTATACCGCCTCCTCATGCTGCTGCCAGGTCCAGAGTGTCTCTCATGGGTCCCTGTACGGCCTCCCATTGCTGCTGTCTCCATCGCCACACTCTGCCATGTGCCACTTTCAGGTCTCCTCACACTGCTGGTGTGTTCCATTTTTTGTCATAGGGTGCTGGCAGATTACGGGCCTCCCATAGCTGCTGCCAGGCCCCTAATCTGCCATGGGCCCCTATACCGCCTCCTCATGCTGCTGCCAGGTCCAGTGTCTCATGGGTCCCTGTACGGCCTCCCATTGCTGCTGTCTCCATCGCCACACTCTGCATGTGCCACTTTCAGGTCTCCTCACACTGCTGGTGTGTTCCATTTTTTGTCATAGGGTGCTGGCAGATTACGGGCCTCCCATAGCTGCTGCCAGGCCCCTAATCTGCCATGGGCCCCTGTACCGCCTCTATGCTGCTCATCAGAGCTCTCATGGGCCACGGCCTCCCATTGCTGTGTCTCCATCGCCACTCTGTGCCACTTTCAGGTCTCCTCACACACTGCTGGTGTGTTCCATTTTTTGTCATAGGGTGCTGGCAGATTACGGGCCTCCATAGCTGCTGCCAGGCCCTAATCTGCCATGGGCCCTATATACCGCCTCCTCATGCTGCTGCCAGGTCCACAGTGTCTCATGGGTCCTGTACGGCCTCCCATTGCTGCTGCCATCGCCACACTCTGCCATGTGCCACTTTCAGGTCTCCTCACATGCTGGTGTGTTCCATTTTTTGTCATTGGGTG